CGAGGAATTAAAAGCACTTTAGTACTTTGTACATACAAAATACCTTTGATTTCGTACTAAGTTCATTGGAGATTTACTTTATTTGTAAGATGGAATATCATATAACCAGGTACTAAAGTGCATCCTTTAGCTCCGAGGGATTCCAATGTTCCCTAGCGAAACATGTTTTATAAGATCAAGAGTATTATGTACCCGATACTAAGGTGCGATCTTTAACTCCGAGGGTTTAAAAACGCTTTAGTTCTTTGGTGTAGCTAAACACGTTGTAAGATCACAAATATATATTCAGGTACTAAAGCGCACTTTTTATTTCCCAAGGAATTGAAAATCACTTTAATTCTCTGATATAACTTTAATTTTTATAATAAGTTAATTGTGGAATACGTGTTTTACAAGCTTAAAAATATTATATATTCAGACACTAAAATCTATTATTTAGCTCCGAGGAATTAAATGCACTTTAGTCTTTTGATATATGATATCTCTAATTCCAATACTAAGTTCACTAGTGAAAAACATGTTTTATAAAACCAGGAATATTATGTATCCAAATTCTAAAGTACATTTTTTAACCTTGAGTATTTAAAAGACATTTAAGTCCTTAGTTGTAATTTTGATACTGTGTTCAGTTCAGGAATAGAAAAGGATATTAGTCTTTTTGTATATATGAGGGTATTTACAAAATATCCTTAATTTTCATAATAGCTTAGTGAAATGCGTGTTTTCTAAGAGAAGGAATATTATGTATCAGTTACTAAAATGCATTTATTTAGTTCCGAGGAATACAAAGGTACTTTAATCCTTTCCTACCTATAAAATACCTTAGATTCCATACCAAGTTATTTTGCGATTGTAGGATAAACGGTATTATGTAAGCAGACACTAAAATACGTTCTTGAACCTTGAAGGATTAAAATGCACTTTAGTCCTTTGACGTGTGGTAAAAAGTACTAACTTTCACTAACGAAATGCATATTCAAGAGTATTATGTTTTGAATTTATTTGAATTTCAATAACTTAAAATAAAGTGAAACTAATTAAAATGTATTTTAGCTGCTAGGTACATCTCTTTATAATTATCTAAAAATTGTTATCGATTGCAAACTTGCATATCATATGCAAAACTCCCGAAAAATATGAAAAATTACCGTGTTACTATTTGTTTGTTTCTTATTAAAGTTAATATCTGAGTATTAAGAGCGACACTTTACTTCCCGAAGCTAGGAATTAAAAAGCACTTTTAATCCAAGCAGTGCAAAAATTGTATTTTGTAAATATTTGTCCATTCTAATTCGAGGGATTAAAACTTAATTTAATCCAAAAGGATTAAAAGCGACACCGTAATTTAGGAAATAAAGATTAAAACAGCACCACCTACAAATCCTGTTGTGTTTGAGTAAATATTCTTCGCAGTTGAGTAAAAGTGGGTCATTTTTTACGAACGAATACCAAGAGCAATATCGAGAAATTTATAGCCGTCTTTGAACTTAATGTTTAATTCTTTAGATAAGATAGGCCGTTTGGAAATTTTTCACGCGAATTTGCGTTTGGATGGTACTTCACGGTTTTTATAAATGCTACAGGAAATTTCAGTTTACTTGGAAATGAGACAAATCATTAAGGTTTACGCGAGAAATCCAGTTGATAACTGGTTAGTGGGCAACCCCATAAATGAATGCATTTTACTTTTTTTTATAATTGAATGAACAAGTACGTTTGAGCTGTTCTAAATTGGTGACGTTAAATCACTTTTATATCTTATTTATTGTATTACCGAAGCCATAAAACTGTGTTACTGTACCTATCGGTTTACTTTCTTCCACTAGTTGTGTGATAGTGTAATAAATTAGACCAATATTTTTTATGGCAACGAACAAATTGGCTTTTAATACTTCCACGGTACGAAACGCTCAGTCAATGGAGCAAAACTCGAGTTGGGAACGTGGTCATCAGGTTTCTCCAAACTTTTAATTACCTCGCTCGCTATTCAAATCATTTCATAATCGGAGAATGCGAGAAATTATAAAAAAATCCGTTATGAATAAAAATGCTCTTTTATCTTATAACACTTCCACTTATTCACACTCTTAGCTGCATTAAGGCGATGTCTGGGATTCGGTCGGTTGTAAAAATATGGGTTTCTTAAAGCGACGTAAGTTTTGTAAAGAGCACATCCACGTTACTTCGATAATATTAACATATCCAACCAATTTATATTTGCCGGAATATTATTTCCATTCATTTCATTATTTATAGCCAAAATAATCAATAGTCAGTGCTACTATTAAATATTTAGAAATTTAAAATATTACGTAAATATAATAGTTACTACACTAAAGCATACTACAAAAAAAAGGTATACTTGTCGAAATTCGGTAGCATGTACCATTTTCGAGAAAAATGAAGTCGCATTTTTTGCATTTTTTTTTACCATTGAATGAGCTGAAGACATTTAGCTACCAACAGTATTTGCATTTAAGACTATAATTTTAATTTCTTACGTATCACATGACACAGTTTAATTGTAAAACATTTTAATAACTAAAAAAAAAGAGTTGAAATTTATTTTAAGTTTCAAATTGTAAGTAAATCAAAAGAAACAGATTATGGTATATATTAATAACTAATTTTAGATTTTGTAAACTACTACATCACCATTACTAAAATAAACAATTGTTGAATGGACTGAACTGTTGATGGACATGAATACTTAAAAGAACTGATAAGAACAGAAAAATATTATGAAACAGACTCGGAGACATACAGAACAAAACAGCTGTACAATTAAATAAATGAGCAAAACTCGAAATACTACAGTAGATGCTGGAATTGCCCCCCAGTTGTTTCTATGCAATTTCATTTTTCTCGAAAATGGTACATGCTACCGAATTTCGACAAGTGTACCTTTTTTTTGTAGTATGCTTCAGAGTTTACAGAACCGTTTAGAAATGTAATCAATTTTGACTTTTAACATATTTTTTTTTTCGATTTCCAATTACCTGTATCGGCGACACTGCTTTGCACCGTTTGCATATTATTTTTAACGCACAGTTGATATTTATTCGCGTACAAATTTTCACATTTTTAACTTTAGCCGATTTAAAGATGATAATTAAGGAATACCATTTAGAAAGTAATTACTTCAACACACTGTATCTCAAAAACAGGTCGTCTAAGAAAAAATTTTATATGAACTACCCCTATTATTTTTCCACGAGGAACTTGCGCACAAGTTTCTTTGAAACATGAACGGGACGCCCTGTATATTGTATATCAAGGGAGTGCAAAAAGTATAATTTGACAATAAATAATGTCATGTGATATTTAATCTTGTCACATACCGTATAAAATTATTTAAGTTTTTAAGAACTTTTCATGAACAAAGTTGCAAACAATATTTGCAATTCAATTTCAAAAAGCTTCTATGCCGCTTCATATTTCAATAATAACTTTTATAGCATTTTGTTTTTATATTATTATTCACCAGATTTTTTTAATGTCTGATTGCCCAGCAAATACATAAAATTTATTTCGCTGTTGTTGTTGAAAGATGTGATATGATTATTAATTTTTTAGCCAACGAGCAATTGGCCGGTGCTTTTGTGGAAACTTTTCAAAGATAACCTATATCGAAGTTATTTTTTTCTGTGTATCTTTAAACACAATTTTTTTAGTTGAAAGGGGCGAGGCGTTGCTTCAAAAACGTCACTATAAAATTAACCTCACATATATTTTCGCTATCACTCGATAGAAAATTTCTGATAATAAATGTCTAATCAATTACAGTTATTACGTCTGGTATACGTGATAGGTGGCACAATTACTCTTATCCCATCACGGAACACCATGTATTAATAAAAATTGAATGTAATTACATACGAAAGTAATCCTTTCGGTCAATTATAGAGGCCCGTTCGAGCAGTTCTAAGATTATGTCAAAAATATATATGCAATAGGGAAATGGCCTGAAACAATCCGCCTTTCTGTATTTCTTGGACTTCAGACAAGTATGAGACTAATTATAGGGTTTTGGTCGTTCCTTTTTTATTTATAATGTGGTACACTTTTAACTTGAAAGATGTGTCTTCGCTTTTAATGCAGGTACGCGCAAAAATAAATGCCCCAAATTTTATCACCGCATTCGAATATTAAAACGCGTTTATTTAAATATTGGACGTTACAGTAGTTTTATCGGTATTTTCCAGGTTTTATTGTAAATAAATGCAGAAATTTGAAGTTATGAATTATTCTAATTGCCTCTAAGAAAAATTAAGTATGTTGGAAATTTCGTATAGATTTTGTAACGGCACTTCTGGGTCCGGAGAAAGCTCGTTATTTTTTGGTGAAACTTTAATTAATAGGTTTTTGCTTACAAATTACAAAAAATGTTAAATATTTGGAACGCGTTTGTTTTTATTTGTCGAACCCCCAAATTGTAGAAATAGATGTAAGATTTTTTAGGCGAATCTGCAAATCGAGTTTTTATACTGTTTAAGTTGTATATACCGTGCGTATTTTTTTTATTAAACAATTTGGAGCAGGTGGTTACAGATCTGTTTCGGTAAAGTAAGGTGACGGGAGAGTGAAGTAAGAGGTTGAAATTCGAGTATAGTATGCGAGTGGCGATTTGGACGGCGAGGAGTGTGAAAATTTATCGTTAAGTGTAGATCGAATAGAGGACATAGCAGATAGTAGTGTCCGCATAGATTCGGCTTAATTTAGCACCTGAGATTGTGAAGCCGGGGGAAGACGTTATAGTCGGATGTCGGTAACGGTGGCGCGAGTTTGTGCAAAAGTAATTCAAGCGCGGCCAAATCCCGGCGACCTGCTGTACGATCGGCTGGCCGTTGGCAGCTGAAGAGCCGGTGATTAAGAGTGCAAAAGTGACGTCGTCGACGTCGTGGGCCATTCGGGGAAGTGGGGCAGGTATAATTAATATCGATATCGTTACGGATATACGGTAGGTCAGTTTGTCCTTAATAAGAATAATTGGGACTCACTGAAAGCACTGGTGTCGTCCGTGGTGCCATTGACGGTCCCGTCCGGAAGTATCTGTAGATGTCGATTCTTGATGAACATTTGTATCTTTCGAGCGGTACCAGTGACGTGCGACAGGTTGGTACTACGTTCGCTGCGGGCCGCGGGGTCCTCCAGCGGCGGTGCGGCAGGTTCAGGTTCAGGGGCGGTCGGCTCCGGGTGCTGGGGCAGTTCCGATTTGGTATGGGGGTCGGCGGCGGGTGCGGCGTACACGAAACCACAAATTGTAACAGCTAGCAGTCCCAGTAACAGCGTCTTCACCATGACTGGGACATAGTGTAGCACTGGTGCTCACTGTCACTGTCTGTCACTAGGTACGCCAGGTCGGCTCCGGTGCCGGCAGGGCAGGAGGAACCTTAGCGTCGACACAGCACGCGTTTCCGTCATAACGCTCTCTCTCAATAAGTACGTGCTACTTATTCGGCCGGCGCGAGCACACTACCTACCTACTTCACTGCCCGTCTGTACGGGTATCGTCTGAGTAACTGACGCAACGTACTGAATAGGCCCGCCTGCCCGCTGCCGTTGCTGAACCTCCGTCGGCGTCGGGTTCGCCTTCGAGGCGTCCTAATTACCACTCGGACTTGTACACCGTCGACAACAGTTCTGAGACCCTCAGAGAGACGCTAATACTAATAGCTCATCGCCGATACCTATCCGTCGTACGGCTAAACTTCGCACACCGGCACCACGAACTAATATCTTCCCCCCTTCCCCAACTAATTATAATCAGAATCACAGACGTCTTGATAACCATATTAAAACTATTTTATAACGGCAACGTGACCGAGGGACCATTCAGTTTTCGCTTTTGCAATTGTCGCAATTCGCGGCGACGCGTGGTAATTTCTCGGAAATTCATTCAATTGTAGATTTTCAGTAACGCTATTGTTTCTGAAAATGTCGGTCGGCCCGCAGGAACTTTTTGGGTTAAGTCGGTTACTTTTTTGACCCTGATAATGTTTCATTAAATCACTTTAAAATAATTCCTTAATCTAACAAAATCCAGCAAAAAAATCGATATTTCATTTTCAAACCACCTTTTAGTTTTTTAAGTCGAAACAAATTACCATCTTTTTGATCAACATCGATTGTGTATATGTACCTCCAATTTTGATATAAAGTCAAGTACCTAATTAAGTGTTATCTGTTCCTTCCTCCTTGTTACTTTTTATTCAACCTTTTTACAGAAATATTTCCCATAAGTCAAAGACCAAGATTAGATAATAAATCTTCGATAACTTTTCCAATACTTCAATGATTTCAATATAATTCGTAATTTCATATGGAACACCAGAAACTATTATTTTTACTAACAGTTGAACACCATTGTTATCATTTTCACAATCTGCTATCACCGTCACCTTCACCATTATCACTAGCACTACACTAATATCACCATCATTATCATTACATGTAGCTATACAACAATCTGCTAATGTCAAAGACCGTGATTAGATAATAAATTTGTGATATTTGTTTGATACTTCTACTGTTTCAATACAGTTCCATAAGAAACATTAAGCCAATTATTACTATTACCATCATCAAAACTCTAAAATATTTAAAAAAAATTATTCCCTACATTTTAAATAGAATGAATTTTCCATATTCTTCTTTTAATCAATCTCGTCGTCAGATTTACTCTATTTTTGAAAATATTTACATTTTTTGCAGCTGTAAACTGTTTACCCTCCATTTTGATAAAAAAGTCAAGTATGCGGTTAAGAATCATAGATTGCATTATTCTCCATGTAAAATTATTCCTTAGTGTTACCGTTCATACAGAAATATTTGCCATAAATCAAAGCCGAGATTAGATAATAAATCTCTGATAATTTTTGTGATACTGCAAATGTTTCAATATAATTTCAGATAGAACACGAAGCAATTGTTTGCTTTAATACCCTCAAAAGAATCTATTATTATTATTTCAACCGTCTTCTACCATACTCACATTTATCGTTACCATTAGCATCATCATCATCATCATCATCATCATCATCATCATCATCATCATAAGCATTATCATCATCATCATCATCATCATCATGTCACCATTGTCTTCATCGTCATAATCATCATATCATCAGCATTATCGTTGATTAATACAAAGGTTCTTCCAAATGAGACATCGTTTGACACAGGGAATTGATAATGAGATGTCAGAAATATCTATTAAAAAATTATTTCCTTTATTTTACGGTTTGGAAATATTATCTGTCAATTTTTTTAAATAAAACATGGCTAATATCTATTTATATAAATTTTATCTTCGATGACTTAGTAATTTAATGCATCTATTGATTTCATATTTATTAGTCATTTATCTATGGAACGCAAATAATGATTTTTTTACCAGTTCGTAACAGCTTCATATGAAACATGACTTTGTATGTATTTTCTTTATAAATTTCAAAAAATATATTTTATCTTTATATTTGTTTTCTTGATACTTGCACATAGACGGAAGTGTCCAGTATTTCGACGACGGAAAACGGCGTTAAATCATCTTTCAAATTAGTTAAATGCTTCTGGTTTCACTTTAAACATGTCGTGGCGAAGCATGATGTTTAGCACACATGTAGATTCCTCATCTTACACAAATCTTGACCAAAATTTTAACGATAAATCTGATTTCTTAGAGCGTGAATAATCAAAAAGGGGAATACCGGTGTTTTCCTGCAAAAAGTCGCCAATTTCACATTTGACAACGTGACTGAGATCTGCTAGGCTGCTATCATATTTGGACTACGACAAAGGTTACTCGTAGCGCAAGAGGTTTCGCAGAATTGTCCCACCTGGAAATTTTATACCGCCTACGTAGCACGTTAGCGTACTAATAGACCAGATCCTTAAAGCTGCGGTTTCGATTGTTCGCTTGACCACATTTGTCAACCGGAAATTGGCATATAAATGTCTTTATCTAAACCGCTATTGCTCTTTCAGAGATCCGTACTGATACAGGAGGTACGCACCGGGCGTTACAAAACCAGAAGTCATAAGCCAGACGATTTTTCTTTCGAAAGTTTAGCCAAAACTTAAAAACGATGTTCTGCGTAGGTAGCTATAGCTCCATCTGCGATCAACACTGATATAAAAACTATACACCGAGAAAACCAGAAACGATAATCTAAACAAATTTTCTTCTGGGTTATCACTTAACACATTTCGAAAGGTCAGTAAAAAAACTCAGAATCGGCGTGTAGGAAGTTTTAAATAAAAAATCTCGGTGAATTTTATAAATACTGTTTTGATCAAGGTCATCAACATGGTCGCCATCACCACTAGCATTATATCGTTATCATCAGTGCGATTACCATCGTATTCAGAATTAGCAAACCTATAAAAAAGTTTTAAATAAAATTGGTTCTGCCAATACAGGGTGATTTTTTGGCCAGGAAGCGAAGAATGAAGGACTTGGTTCCAGTTCCAAGCAAAAAGACGAAATGCTGCAAGAGAATGGCTAGACCACGTAACCCACTTAATTGGCCTGCTACAGCGCCAGATCTGAATTAATTATTACTTCTAAGGTCACATAAAACAGTGTACAATCAAAGTGTAGTGTATAACACTAAAAATGGTATTTCGCCTTTTTGGCTCGATTCTAACGCAGATGCTTCATTTTTCGCCACCTGGTGATTATTTTCCAGTAAAACATCGGCGCAACTGGTGTGTATATACGACAAATTCTTGATGGGATTTATTGGCAAAGTGGTTGGTATTTGAGGATCACATGTTGAGCGTAGCGTTTCCAAATTTTAACACAACAAAACGCATATTTATTTATAATGCTGTAAAATATTAATGGGATATGCCATTCATCTTGCGACTATTTTTGTTGCCTCAACTAGTTAAAAGCATAGATAAGTTAAATTGTAAGTTGCCCAGCGAAAAAAACAAAATTACTCAGCTTATATGCAATTCGAAGTATTTTCGTTACCTTGCAACCACAAATTTGTTCGCGTTACGCAAGATTTTCTAAATCATGTATTAATACGAGGTATTTTAGTATCTGGCATTCAATTTGTTTACGTTACGAGGGTCATCAGTTTTTCTAAGGAAGAGTGTAAAAAAACGAAAGCAATGAGTCTTGTCGATGAGATGTAGGTACTTAGCGTTATTTTTTGAAAAAAGGAGCTCATTATTACCGCTCTGTATAAACATAGAATATTTCTTCAGGATGTATAACTATACCAAGTCAGTATAATAATGGGATCAAATTATACAGAAGACGGGATCACAAAGCTGATCTCCTTCTGTATAATTATGACTAAACACAAGATTCAAACCATATGCAGTTAATTGAATATTAGTCTACAAGATATATACTTAAGATGCTGATTATATAAGATCAGTTTGTTTTGCATCGCTGTATACAGCTGAATATTTTTTAAAGTAACCAATACCTTCTGAAAATGTACTACGGTTATTATCAGTTTCTTAGATGTCAAATTAATTTCTCGTTAAGAAATAAGATTCCAGTTCACCACAAAATAAATTTTTATTATAGTTCCCAAACCAATAGGAAGTTAAAAGAAATTAATTGAAATTTAATCAAAATCCGATTAGAAATTGAATTCCAAATGAGCTACCAGTTATATTTTTATTACACTTAATGTCAATGAGGAAATTCTATTAAAATTTAAGTACGCATCATCTTCCTTCCATTTGGACTGTTATTAAGGCCCAATCGGATGTTGGAATAAAATTTTTGGAAAGCAACAAAAAATCGGATGTATTTTGACAATATTTTTGAATACTGACAAAAATCCAGTACATACCTGTTGCAGTTTAATTAAAGTAAGTGGATCCAAATAATTGGAATACTTAAATTTGTTACAATAATCAGAAACATATTTAACAACATTCTAATCTACTTCATGTTCGATGTCATTATTTATAAAACAGTACGATAAAACAATAGCATACAATACCATAAAATTATTGCAGTGGTTCAAATGAAATATACACAGAGTATCATAAATTATAACAGATTACTTGGGTGAAAAAAATTGGACTATCATTATGCTAATTTTAATTTGGGCACTCCATTTTCGAGATACATATAGTCAAGGGAACCAATGAAGTACGCTTTTAAGGGTTTTACAAATTGAATAATTTCTTTATACATTATGAAGGGACGAGGGCATCAGTTCAGGTCTGGCACCCTTGTTCCTACAAAAAATCCTTTATTCTCATAAACTATTTATTTTAAATGTAATTTATTATAAATCCAATTTGTTTCCTAAATTCCACATATGTACGCGCCACTGTTGTTTACTTGTTTTTTGGAAGCGCTCTCTAATTGACGGCAAAGCTCGCCAGGTTAGTATTTGACGTATAACCGACCAGTTCGTACACTCGATGCACCTGGGCGACTACAGCTACTACCAGAACACAGTGCGTATGCAGCGGTGTTTCAGATTTACATTGAATTTCATTTTAAATTTGAAATGATTTATCTTACGCCTCCTAAAAATGATGACACGATTTTCCTTTGATAATAGACCGACAACTTTTTGCTCTACTTTGCATCGAATACGATCCTACTATAGTGTTAAAGTTAATATTTTAAATTGTTGATATTTTGCACATGTTTTTATAGTTATACCGTCACACTTTTGGGCAGTTTTGGTAGAAAAAAACACATAAACTTAGTAGTGGGAGTGGTTGGCGGTCGACGGTCTTAATTTTTTCCATTCCCTTGATCCTGAGG